AAAGGGAACTAATTCTAACAAACAAACTTATATATTGGTTTCTTAAGTTTATGAGGATTTGGTGTTTTGCGCATGTGATTTTTAGATTGTGACTAGTTGTTCTCCCAGATTCTTTTTGCTGTGTAAATGGCGATTCACGTTTTCCCTATTTGGAATATTTTCAATAAAATTCCTATCTTACTGAACTCATTATACTGTTCTTCATTTTCCATCTAGGTCTTTTCTTAAATGGTTGTGTGAATTCACTATGTGGGGCCATCATGTTTGAATTTTAGTATGCTGTGAACATACTGGATATTGATGCTTGTACCGTTAAACCAACTGCTTCACCAAGAAGAATCTACTTTGTCATTGGCTTCACCAAACTTAATATGATGAGGTGGACGGTTCTTTGACTGGTTTTTTCTTACATGGTTAACAAGATTGTCATTGTCTACCTTTGTGTTTGAAAAAGGATCTACTTTCAGTTCACTTTTATAAATAAATTGTGCAAATGTTTTCCACTACGATAAATTAACTGTTGGTCAGTCTGATTTTTTATGGTGTTGGATGTTTGCTGACATTTTAATTAACTGTTTAATTATTCTATCGTCCTAATCTGGATCACTGTGGAAGATTCTGACAAATTAGAAGACCTACAACTGCAAAGGCTGTTTAGAAAGTCGGTTTCCCAATTGTGGAAGCCCTTATTTGTTTCTGGGAATAAGGTTCCACTACAATACTTCAGATAGGTGCAGATTAATAGAAAGATTAATTTTTTTTAAAAAAATCATGATTGTGATGCCTTCACAATTAATTTGCAGTCTCTTATATTGATTAGAAATCTGCCTACCAACAGTAAGTTATGCTATGAGTCTGCACCTATTAACCCGAGTTAGTTGGTGTGAGTTTGAGATGAATATTATGCTGGTATTGTGCAGTTAGCGTTGAGATGCTTGGAAAATTTTTAATTAATGTTCAAATCAACATGATGGATCTTAAGAACTTGCTTACAATTGAGCAAGTTATTTCCAGTTTATTAAATATCATTCTTTGTTGATCTTCATAAGTAGGTTTATGAGTTTCACCACACAAGCTTTTTTTTTGGTGTCTTTCTTAGTTGTGAAGTACTTATAGGAGCTTCAGTGGTTTGTTCTTAGTCATATAGTCAATAATGCTTTCCAGAATTCATCGACTCATATTTTCATTTGGATTTTGTAATTATGCAGTTTCTCATTCACTCACTCCATCTTTGGACTGCTTAGCTTCTTAACCTCGTATGTCTATCAGCTAGTTGAGGAATGGGTTCTAGATATCTAATTGTCAGTTATATTTTATGTTAATGTAGCACAAGCAGTACAATCAGGTGTTCTTATGTGTCTAGTTGTGAATTCCTTGTGAGTTTTAGTTCTTGTACCATGCTTTGTTTTGGCAGAATAAGGACGTCACAGAAGCTATTCAGAAGGTAGCTGCTGCCTATGATTGCAAAATTGTTGAGGGAGTGCTTAGTCATCAGTTAAAACAGTTTGTAATTGATGGGAACAAAGTCATAATAAGTGTAACGAACCCTGAAACTCGTGTTGATGAAGTGGAATTCGAAGAAAATGAAGTGTACGCAATTGATATTGTGACTAGTACAGGTGAAGGAAAGGTGAGAATGGTGTTCTTAAGACTTATTATGTAATTATCATCACTGAAATTCATGCCTCTTGATATGTTTTTACTTCATTTGCTCTTGTAATTCATCCTCAGTCTTCTCTACTGATTCATGACAAATTAACTTGCAGCCGAAACTGTTGGATGAGAAGCAAACTACCATATACAAAAGAGCCGTCGATAAAAGCTATCACTTAAAAATGAAGTCATCGAGGTTTATTTTCAGTGAAATAAGCCAAAAATTCCCAATTATGCCATTTTCTGCAAGGTTTGCCTTCATGTGTTCTTTTCTAGAACTCAAGTTCTATTTTTTTTTTTGGGCTTTTTATTTTGGAAACATGTGCCTTTTATTATTTTTCACAGGGCTTTAGAAGAGAAGCGAGCTCGACTTGGACTTGTTGAATGTGTGAACCATGATCTTTTACAGCCATATCCTGTGTTGCATGAGAAGCCTGGTATGATTTATTAGCTCTGGCAGTTGTATGTCAAATTGCTGGCTAACTTCTTTCAATTTCTTTTTTTTTGGTTGAATTCTGTTGTGAAACTAAACATTGAAGTCGTTTAGAATGGCTGAATGCTAACGGTCTTTAAATACATGTCATCGGTTATGTAGATTGTTCACTAGTGAGTTAACCTATTGGCTTATGTTTACAGGAGATCTTGTTGCGCACATTAAGTTTACGTTACTGTTGATGCCCAATGGGTCAGACAGGGTTACTTCTCACCCACTTCAACAGTTGCAGCCTACCAAGACTATCGATGACAATCCTGAAATAAAGGCATGGTTGGCGTTGGGAACAAAGACAAAGAAGAAAGGTGGAGGAAAGAAGAAAAAGGGTGAGCATCCGTTGTCCTAGTTTGCCCTGCTAGGTGTTAGTTTGAAAGTGTATTAGTTGTCAAGTGTCTCGTGCTTATTTACAGAACATAGGTATTTGTGGTTTTAATTCCTTCGCTGATGATTTTTTATGCCAGCAAATTTACTATTTACTTTGATAGTCTTATATCTATGCCATTTTTTTGCTGCTTGTAGGCAAGAAAGGAGATGGCCGTGATGACTCCGCAGACGCTGAACCAATGGACACCACATCGAATACCACAGTTGCTTAGTCTGACCAGTGTCTTGAGTTTTGGTGTACTCCTATTGAATTTGTTAGTGCTTCCCCAAGCCTTCCAACCTTTGCATGAATTGTGTGTTTGGGAAATGGAAATCCACATTATTCTAATTCGAGGAGAGGTAAAGGATTTTTGTACTAAAATTTCGCAAAGCTTCGGTGAGGAGGATGTCAAAACAAATAAATTGTGTTGCTTCAGTCGTGGACTCATTTATGCACAAGCATATTACCTTGTGAAGACGAGTTGTATATGTGGGTGGGGCTCTGTTGCAGTTGCTTCAGCGGGGCATCTCAAGATTAGAAGCTATTTCAATTATTAAGAATATTATTACGTCATGTTTGAGTAAAAGGGTACGTATATTTTCCTCACATCTCTCTCGAATATATATATATATATATATATATATATATATATATATATATATATATATATATATATAGTGGCGTTCTTCTTCCGACCCCAACGACCTCTCACTCCACCCCAGTTGCCAACCGTCCGTCTGGTCGAACTCAGATCGCCCCCATCGTCACCCCCTTTTGGAAGTCGCAGTCACCGCCGGCGACGAGGATGAGGACGTGCCCCTCTCAAACCCCGATCGATCACGATTTGTGGCAAAGTCGGGTTCGTGATGCGGCAATCCAAGACCCTCAAGATCGGCGCTAACCATCTTGGTTGGTCCTTTTTCCTTTCTTGATTCAGGCTACGTTCTTTCCAGGACGAAATTGGTTGTTCTTCCCGCTTCTAATTTTTCTTCGTTCCGCGTGCAGTTGTACCGACGATTTTGATCCAGGAGGATTTGGGAGACGATAAGTCATGCCTGTTGCATTTTGTTGATCGCGAAGTAGGAGATGATCTGCATCCGCTTCGGCCGTGTGCAAAGTAAGCATTTCGCTACGAATTTTCATCTATTGGCCGTAGGTTAATATTTGGTTTATGATTTTGGTTTTCATTGGGAAATTTTCTTTTCTTGCTTATGTGTGGTTGCCGAAGTTCTTCAGCCGTAGGAAAATCCCTAACTTGGTGTTCAAACTACCAAAATCTTCTACCAACTTCGTTGCTGTTGCAGATCATAATTGTGAAAATACTACTACCATAAATATGTAAGCAGTCATATAAACTGAACCTCAATCGAGTTTGCAGAGTTCATGTGAACTTTTAGGGAGAGCTTAAGTTGGATCTCAAATTATATTTTTTTCATGATTGGAAAATTGGAGCTTGGATTAGGCAAGTGGAGGATTTATCTAAGAGTTGTTCCTTGATCCTTAAAAAGTCCTTACTGTCTACTGCATGTAATTGATCTGGAAGGGCCTGAACGAGACAGTTTTCAAGGGGGGTGAAGGTCTCTTCTTCCTCCATCATATATAGAGCAATTGCCTATTGTCTCTTGCTATGTAGTGTTTAATCGGTCTGAAGGCTGGTGGGGGATAAGTCACATATTGGTTAGCTAGAAAAAAAATAAACATAATTTATATGGTTAAAAATGAATTGAAAGTTAGCACTTTGAGCCATCAAGGCTGGAAGTGGAATCTGATTCTTAACTATTGATCAACATTTTGAACAAGGAGAAGCCTTCTCCTTGGTTCTTTCTTACTTCTGTTTGGAAAACTATTACCCTAAATAACAATATTTTTTAATGTAAAATTTCCCATGCAATTCCTGAGGGAATTGCATATCATGAAGGTTGCCAAGTAAGGTAAAATACTTGTCTATCGTAGCACTATTGCTGTGGATGAATATTGTTGTTCTCTGGGAGTAACCTACATTTCTAATATAATTGAATTCTTATGCGTAGATTAGCAATAACATGTGGCTGTAGTTTAGTGGTTAGAATTCCACGTTGTGGCCGTGGAGACCTGGGCTCGAATCCCAGCAGCCACAAATATTTATCGTTTTCTTTTAATTATGATTTTTGATATGCTTTATAGCTTAAATCGTCAACTTGTTTTGCTTCAATTAGCATCCCAGCAGCCACATTTGGTTGTCGTTTTCTTTCAATTATGCTTTTTGATACGATTTCTAACTTAATTCGTGAATTTTTTTTTCTTCAATTAGCGTTTTGATCTGCTTTATAGCTTACAGGGGTGAACTATAGGAATGACTTAATTTTTGACGTTGTTGTCACCTCAACCTTCTCACTGTCAGATATGCTGATACAGCATAAACCTGTGAATCGTAGGAATAAAGGCTGTCACACAACGATATCTATGAACCAAAGCATGGCCGCGCATCAGGCATCCAGTGAAGAATATTCGTCCCAAATATCTGTGCGTTGCATCGATCTCACCGCACGCAACTCATAAATTCCTTTCGGCTACAACCCACACTGACAACAAAACCCATATCATTTCAGTTCTATTTACGTAAGGAGACATGAAAAGATAAAAAGTATCCATCTCATGTGAATGCGTACAACACCAGAGTGTTCTGGACCCACAGAAAGAGCTACTCTCGACGGCAGCTAGCGAACAGCAAGCTTCCCCTTCCCCACCCTCCCCCACGGCTCTCTCTTGCATGCCCACCATCTTCCGCGTTCCAGAACAAGGCCATGTCTCTTCACTTCGCCACATCTCTGCAGCTTCTGTCCTTCATGCATCCTGCTCCATCTTCTCTCACCCTCAAACCGCAGCCCCCGCCGGCTCCGCGGCCACGGACGAGTCGGCGAGCGAAGCCCGGCACAGCGGGCAGCTCGTGTGAGCCTTTAACCACTCGTCCACGCACTCCACATGGAACGTGTGGCCGCAGCTGGGCAGCACTTTGACCTTATCCCCCTCCGTCAGGCTACTCAGGCATATCGAGCACTGCGCCTCCTCGCCGGCCTCCAAGTCTCGGTGCAGGTGCACCGGGAAGCTGTCGATGATCCGCGGATCGAGGCCTGCCGTGCGATGCGATGTCGCGGCCGACGACATGCTCACCGGGGCGGTTTCGGCCCCCCATTGCGGACGGTGGCGGCACGCCCACCTCACGTAGAGGCAGATGAGGGTGAAGAAGAGGAGAATGGTAAAGGAGATGAGAAGGAAGAGGAGACCCCGGCCACGGACGTGGAAGTTCTTGTCGTCGAGCGCGTCGTAGTGCCAACGGAAGGGCTGAGCGTCCTGTGCTGCCATCCTCACCGGTGTTGGTGGTGGTGGTGGATATGGATTCGAGTTTGGGCTTTTATGAGGGTGGGGATGGCTCGGCGAGTGGCTTCCAAAGGATGAAGCGTCGAGTGGTGCAAGAGGGTTTCGGCCCATGCCATGCCATCCCATTCACCTCGCTTTCCAGCTTGCCCTTCGTCTCACATTAAAGAAAAGGGTAGTTTTGGCTCATCTCATTCACTGTTGTTGGTGGAGATGGCGGTGTTTCTACGCAAAGAACGAAGAGCTGGCCAGGGATGGCAGAGCCGTTCTGCATGAAGGTTTTCTAATCCCCAGTTTTGGTATAGGCTGATACGAAATAAAACTTCCAATTAAAGGGCTGTGGCGGTCAGCAATTAATTGAGAGGCAAGAAGTCAGGATGCTTCTCGGTCCTTCCAGCTAATTGCTGAGGGTGCGACAGGAGGGATTTGGAAGCTTGCTTGTTGTGTATCGATTTGCTTCACGCACGCTATCTTGCTTTAACCCCCCTGTTTGCCAGCACAATGAGAAGTAGACAAGATGTCGCTAATGGTGTTGGGTTGCGCGACGTGATGATCACGCGCATAAATAAATTCTTGAAATATACAAATATCGAAAGCAAAATTACATGGTACATGAATGACCATAGTAAAGTTATGAATGTCTTGGAAATGGCATATAAATTTAGTATTCTACAGGTGATTGTATAGTTGAAGCCCAGTGGGCCACCAGCCCAATTGCAATGATGGTGGGTGTAGGTGTGGGAGATTTAAGCATTTGCTGGTGTAAAGGGTTCACAAGAAGAAGCACAGCAAGTTTTGGTACATCTGCTTGGGAAATTTGGAAAAGAAGGGGTCCTTTCCTGATTATGTTTCGCTTTTGTTTCACAATTTATTGCCAAGATAAATAGTTCGGGGGCTATGTATGGTGACTGTGTGGGTGGCACGTGTCGACTCGCCAATTCGGCTCCGGACATCTTATTTCCTGTAGGACACTGGTGCAGGGCACAGGAGTCTTAACACTTGGCGGGCAGGAGAAGCGAATCGTGTGAAAGGTTGCCCTTCTATGATGAAGCTTAGATCAATATCAATGGGTCTTATGCGTCCAACTCACTGTGTATGGGTAGTATGCCTCAATTTGCCAGCGTAGTGGTGCGATTGGGTCTACCCCTTTAAAACGCTAAGCCCAACATCAAACCCAAACTAAACCTCTATATATATATATATATATATACCCCTTTAAAACGCTAAGCCCAACATCAAACCCAAACGAAAGCTCCATATATATATATATATATACACACACTCACACTGAAAGACCTCTCAACATGTGAGGTCTCTCACTCTCTACTGCAAGAAAAAGAGGCGATCAAGAAGCGCCATGGCGGCGATCCTCTCCGCCATTTGATTCGCTCTCTCTCTCTCTCTCTCTCCCTCCTGCCCGGAAAAGATT